AGAACAGTAGGAGGGGAAATAAACAAGGGGCAATAGTTTTACTTTGTGTAATGACACATCCACTCCCAGTCTCTATTCAAGCCTAAGTTAATTGTATCCAGTTTGCAAATTAATTCCAATTCAGCAGTCTCTCGTTGGAGTCTGTTTTTGAAGTTTTTTTGTTGAAGATCTCTATCAAGCATTCTTACAACTACAATACCCACCTGCTGAAGTGAAGAAATAGACTGACAGAGCCAGAAGAGTACCCAGAAGTTACCTACGACAGGACAGGCCCAACAAAGAAAATAACAGAATGCCACTAGCCGTCACCTTCAGCCCCCAACTAAAATCTCTCCAGAGCATCATCAAGGATCTACAACCTATCCTGAAGGACGACCCATCACTCTCAGAGATCTTGGGAGACAGGCCAGTCTTTGCTTACAGACAGCCCCCCAACCTGAAGCAAATACTTCCAGCAACCACACACCACACAACAGAACCACTAACCCAGGAACCTATCCTTGCAACAAAGCCCGTTGACAACTGTGTCCACATATCTATTCAGGGGACACCATCACAGGGCCTAATCACATCAGCCACACTATCAGAGGCTCGTTCACCTGCACATCCACCAATGTGATATATGCCATCATGTGCCAGCAATGCCCCTCTGCCATGTACACTGGCCAAACCAAACAGTCTCTACGTAAAAGAATAACTGGACACAGATCAGATGTCAAGAATTATAATATTCAAAAACCAGTCGGAGAACACTTCAATCTCTTTGGTCACTCGATTACAGACCTAAAAGTGGCAATTCTTCAACAAAAAAACTTCAAAAACAGACTCCAATGAGAGACTGCTGAATTGGAATTAATTTGCAAACTGGATACAATTAACGTAGGCTTGAATAGAGACTGTGAGCGGATGTGTCATTACACAAAGTAAAACTATTGCCCCTTGTTTATTTCCCCTCCTACTGTTCTTGTAAAGTGCTGGAAATGGCCCATCTTGATTGGTTTCAGAGTAGCAGCCGTGTTAGTCTGTATTCGCAAAAAGAAAAGGAGGACTTGTGGCACCTTAGAGACTAACCAATTTATTTGAGCATAAGCTTTCATGAGCTACAGCTCACTTCATCGGATGCATTCCTTTCCATCTTGATTATCACTACAAAAGGTTCCTCCCCCGCCCCCCACTCTCCTGCTAGTAATATCTCACCTTTCTTGGTCACTCTTGTTACAGTCTGTATGGTAACACCCATTGTTTCATGTTCTCTGTGTCTATAAAATCTCCCCACTATATTTTCCACTGTATGCATCCGATGAAGTTAGCTGTAGCTCACGAAAGCTTATGCTCAAATAAATCTGTTAGTCTCTAAGGTGCCACAAGTCCTCCTTTTCTTTTTACGGATACAGACTAACACGGCGGCTACTCTGAAACCTGTCATCTTCCTTACAGGAAGTCTGCTCCGCTCTTACTAAGACCTTGTCTACATTACAGGTTATATCAGTCTAACTTTCACACCCCTGTGTGATGTAAATAATCCACCCCCTGAGCAATGTGACCTAAATGCCGGTGTAGACAGAGCTCTCTCAGCAAAAGAGCTTCTCCTGCTGACAGAGCTGTTGCCTCTTGCCGAAGCAGCATTAATAAGCCAACCGGAGAGCTCTCTCCCGCCAGCTTAGAGCATCTCCACCGTAAGTGATCACATTGAATCCTCTCAACTTGTGTTACACCACTGGATCCGGGCTCTGGCAGGCCAGCTCTCAGCTGGGCCAGGCAGCCCGCAACCAAGTCTCACGACACTTTTCACTGTGAACAAGTTGTTAGTTGCCTGTTTAATTAGCAACCCTGCTGTCTGTGTCTGGATCAAGTGATGCCTAGTGTACTGCTGTTAGCACATGGGTGTGCGAGCCTGGCCCAGGAACGAAAGGAGCATAGCTTTCTTTTAATGAATAAATGACCATGGAAAAGCTGCCGTACTCACTAAAGGTGACCGTTAGCTAGCTTTAATCTTTAATAATGTGATGGTCACATGACAACACCCCAACAACCATCTTGATTCTGGTTCCAGTGGAGATGGAATTGCGAGTAAATCGTCTTTCGGGACAACAGCTACCATGGGCAGGAATCTGGCTTTTCCAATATCAGGCCAAGGCGCTCCCCATGCAATCAGAGCCTCTAGAAAAGAGGCCACCCACCAATTTCAGACCTTTTCATGCACTTCTGGAATGACTGCCCTTGCCATGCTGTGGCTATGGTAACATCACACCTGGTGCTTACCTGCCCGGGCACTGTTAGTTTTGAAGAACCTGGAGTCACTGAAGGAGACAAGACTTGGTCGAACTGGGCAGTCTGTCCCATAATATTTGGATCGTAGCCTATTCCCTGGAAGGTGATCAGAGCCGAATCTCCCTCCAAGATGTGGATGGGAACATCCACCTGCCACAGAAAGGGCAACCGGGATAAATTCAGGGCTGCATTTTGAGGGACCCCCTTACAAAGCAATGTCTATGCTAATGAAGCTGGACTACAGCCTCCTCGTTTGGAATAAGTGACCTGTGCAGTGGGATTCTTAGAGACACTGACTAGCCAAGTCCCCCCGAGACCCACTAAGTGCAGGGACACTAGCTGCCTGCTGGGAATGTGGGTTACGTAACAGCACTGTACAACAGATACCTCTTTGGAGTAACTACCTTTGAAAGACTTCCCAGTCTGATCCTATAGCCAGTTATGGATGTGTTGCAACTTCAAGAGCCTGATTCTCCTTTGCACCAAGGCCCCTTTAAACCACGCAGACCCAAAGTCTCTAGTATTTAGGCTCTCTCTGTTCTCATCCTGATTCCTCGCCCCCCAGTTTCATGGTGGCATTACAGGGGGCTCCCTGTCTGGCCACGGGGCCAGTGACACTAGATCCCTGCAAGCACAAGGTGCAGAGAAAGCTAAGGTTCTGGCGAGGTAGAGCAGAGACCCCTGGCCAGGGGCACAAGGAGGAGGACAAGACCCCAGCTGTGGGGCACACCACCCATTGTTGAATGGCTCCTGCCAGGGGATGGCCCTGCACTCCCAGCAGCAAGTGCGTGAGCAGGGTCATGGCAACAGGGCTGCAGAGGGCAGCTGAGGAGTATCAGACCCAGGAGTGACACCGGGCCCCTGCAGGTGCTAAGTCCAGCAGGGGCTGTGCTTGCCCACTGTAACCAACAGATTTTTTTTTGACAGTGTCAGCGTGCCAGGTGAAATCAATGTTTCGCGAGGACAAATGATTTAAATCCTACCAAGCCAATTTCTGATGTGAACAGAGAGGGCTGCAGGATCTTGGCCTCTTCAGCCGCCCCAGGGAAAGCACTTTACACGATCACTCGTTTATACTGAGGAGCATCTTACCGAGTATGTTCTGGCTTCCAGTGGTGAGAAGACCCACTCAATGTGGCTTGTCATGCCGGGAGGGATCTCCCCCCTGGGATTCAAACAGACAAACACGGGGTGCTGGAAATTCTCCTCCTGGATTTTCATCACAGAGTCCAGCTGAACCTCATAAGCCACAGCCATGGAGCCCCCGTTGTACAGCTCATAGATCTGCAGGTAACAGAAGTTCACTGTACCATGCTGAAGTTAAACTAGTTAGCAACAGCCCTCAGGCCTGAGATGAGGATTAATGAAGTTCATAAGTCAGGGCATTTAATAGAACAGAGGTTCAGATGGAGGAGACCCCATAACGCCAGAATTTATAACAAAGGGTCTGGTAGGTGACCATACAAAGCCAACATCTATCACCACATCTACATACACTCTTTCTGCTACAGCTCCTCCCACACACTGCCCACCGAACGCAGTTTTACTCAGGTCCAGTGGCAGCAGGCTGCAGGAATCAACAATATTTGCTAGCATCTTATGGGACAATCAGTCCAGTCAGATCTTTGGAGATGGGAACCAGAGTTCAGAGATGGTGACCTCCCGCCCGCCTCCCCAGTGCAGAACAGGCCCTAACGCCCATCTCCAGGGCTTGGGCTAGTTCCAGTCTCAAACCACCATGTGATGGGGCCTCACTACTTCCCTTGAGAGGCTATTCCACAGCCTAACAAGTGCCATTGCTTCCTTCCCTCCCCAGCACAGGCCGGCATTCTAGCTATTTTGCTCTGCCTGCTGGTAGCTAAGAGTCATGGCCGCTCACCTGTTTGGGCGGGCTGGAGCTGCCGATGGCGATGGGGGTGAACAGATGCTTAGTGGAGGTAAAATGAACGTACCGCTGCTCCCGTTCCACCGTCACGCCAATGAAATTCAACTACAGTGCAGGCCAGGGAAAAGAACCAGTAATTCTCTCCAGGAAGAAAGCATCATGCTATCACAGTTACAGAACTAAATCAGTAATAACAGGAGAGGCAGATAGGAGCTAAGAGGCATAAGCAAGGAAGGTAAATATTACTGACCTGTACAGTCTTCCTCTCGGAAGGTTTGAATTGCACCAATCCCCACCCCCGCCCCATAGGTGCACACTCCCAGCCCGACAGCTGTGAGACAGAGCTTTGGCGCTTTATCCCCTGTACCAGGAGATGGTACCAGCCTTATCAGGGAAGAGCTGTAAGTGATTCCCTTCCTCCAATTCTCAGTCACAGGCCCTCACGCTCGGACAGTGACCCATTCCAGGGAGCTCTCTAACGCGGGGGAGCCTAGAAGCTGCCACAGGAACCAACAAGCATAAATGTGAAGTGGCAAACCAGTGGAGTTATCAACAGTGTCCCCTCTGCAATGCAGCAGAAAGGAACCTCAGAGGCTGGATGTCCTCCCCTCACCAACTCTATGAAGCCCCTGAGAAGTCAGACCTCGAGCCACATGGGGCAGGGAACTGCAGGCTATAATTTCCCGTTGGAGTGCATCAGAGAAACCCAGAGCTGTTTGATCTAGAGCGTGACTGCAGCGTTGAGGTGGAGACTGCCGAGGAAGCCCCAGATACAGCTGTTGGACAGGGAGTAGGCAGGGTTCACAAGAAGCTTGGAGGCCTCAGAACTCCACAGCGAAATGGTGGAGCCAATTTCTCTTCCAATCGTATAAATCTTTCGCCTTTTACTAAAGATTTCCGTGGACAGGAACATTTATGAGTTTCTACCCAATTTTTTTGTGAAACTTTTTTAAGAGCCCAGGTGGGAGAGCTACTAAAGCAAGGGGGAGACAGGAGCTGCGATGACCCACAGAATTCCTGGGTTCTCAGAAACCCACGGGAGATGCTGATGTAGTTCTGTAGTTAAACAAGAGCCGAGTAGACAAGAGGCTGGTGGTGCCTCTAAAGTACCTCCTCACCCTGATCAGGAAGCTGAGCCTGACACAAGAAGAGAACAGGCACTAACGGATTCCCAAGGCACGATATCAGTATTTATCATCTCAGAGCACCGTACAAATACTTAGCGCCCCAAGGATCAGGGCTCCATTGTGCCAGGCTCTGCACAAATACAAGGGAAGACAGTTCCTGCTCCAGACAATTCACAATCGAGACAGACAAGCAAGAGTGCCTGGGCATGAGATAGTCCCCAAACCCGGCACTCCGATGAGAGTGGGAGATTCCATTTCCTGAGCTTGACTCAGGGAGCCAGGCCTGCTGGCTTTATCCAGCGGGCCCTGCTTTCACAGGACTCTGATCCCCAAGGTGAAACACCTGTTCCCCTGGACACAGGGGATGTTACCTACAGGCGGTTGTCTCCATACAACTGACAATCAAAGTAGCAGGATGGAACTTAGAGAAAGAGATCAAAAGGCTCAGGCTTGCTGAGATCAATACTTTCAATCCTGGCTGAGACCAATACTGATGGACTCTGTAGGCACTGGAAGTCTGCCCGTGATGATCACTGTCTGTCTAAGCATGCAGAGCCCAGAGACGGACACCCACGCAGGGAGCAGGGTTGCTCAGAGAATGCCAGCTCCAGGTAACTATATGCAATGACCAGTTAATAAGCTTTTGAAAGCTTGAAGCATTTAGGGGTCCATCCTGTGGATTCCACATGCCAGTGGGGATCCCCCAAAGATCTTGCCCTTCAGTGGAAGTGATCAAGCCCCCGCTCTAATCTGCGCTCTGGGAACCAGGCTCTATGGCTCAGACTCTCTCAGCATCTACAGCCTGCAGTCGGCTTCCTTTCAAAGCCGCTGATGGCAGCAAATTCTGTCCAGCCCACTTTCCTACTCCACCGCTGTGCTCTGACAGTGAAGTCAGAGCTGCAGTGCCTTGGATAATGGAGACTGGCCAAGCAAAGGGTTTCCCATGCCAAAAGCTACCACCTCTCTGGAAGAGTGGGGCATGCAGGTTCCCAGAGCTGGGAATTTGCTCCTGCAAAAAGTTTCCTGCAGGAAATCAGTGTGGTTTCCTTCAACACCCCCACAAACCTAGAGTCACCTCAAAGCCAGAACAAGTCACTTTCGACCATTAGCCTGCACCCCAGTGGGAGGGGAGGGAGTGAAGGCCCCATAAGAGACCAGACTCCAGATGGAAAAGGTCACTTATGAAGAAAGGCAGTGCCAGGGGAGGGAGAGAGAGGTGGGAACAGATCCATCATCTTGATCCTTTCTGGGCTGGCTTGCTAGTGATCAGCACCAAGCTGTGCTTAGGGCTCAAAGATGGACAAAGAAAATCCATGCCTTGGGTTGGCCCACATGCCCCTAACATAGAATCATAGAATCATAGAATAACAGGGTTGGAAGGGACCTCAGGAGGTCATCTAGTCCAACCCCCTGCTCAAAAGCAGGACCAATCCCCAACATCATCATACAGACCCCGGCCTGCAGGCAGTCTGCTCTCCAGTCTGGAAACACACAGACGGCAACGACCCTCACCCCAGAGCTGCTTACTGATGCCATCTGAGATATCCCAGGTCCAGCTCTTGGGACAAACACTAAAGCAGCTGTTTCCCTTGAGGCTACGATGGATTCTCCAAATGGCTCCAAGCCTCAATGAATTCCCAGGCATGTCTCTGTTCCCCTTCTTTCCTATGAGTGCAGGCAAAGAGCAATCTTCTGCACCATTCCTGCTCCTCTTGAGGGGGAGGAGCCATATTAGCAGGAGTGTGGTAAGCAATACACAAGAAGTAATTGTTCCGCTCTACTCCATGCTGATTAGGCCTCAGCTGGAGTATTTTGTTCAGTTCTGGGTGCCACATTCAGGATAGATGGGAAAAATTGGAGAAAGTCCAGAGAAGAGCAACAAAAATGATTAACGGTCTAAAAAACACGACCTATGAGGGAAGATTGAAAAAATTGGGTTTGTTTAGTCTGGAGAAGAGAAGACTGAGAGGGGACATGAGAACAGTTTCAAGTACATAACAGGCTATTACAAGGAGCAGGGTCAAAAATTGTTCTCCTTAACCTCTGAACAGGGGTCAGCAACGTGTCCATGGTAAAAATTTTGAGGTCTGTGGTAATTTTGAAAGAAACGTTGAACGACTGATTGACATAACCCCCCCACAGTGTCTGTCACTAAATACGGTAATTTGTCAAGTGTCCATTGCGCAACATGGTGGTGCATAGGACAAGCAGCAATGGGCTTCAATTGCAGCAAGGGAGGTTTAGGTCGGGACATTAGGAAAAACATCCTGTCAGGGTGGTGAAGCACGGGAATAAATTGCCCAGGGAGGATGTGGAATCTCCATCACTGGAGATTGTTAAGAGCAGGTTAGACACACCCCTGTCAGGGACGGTCTAGAGATAATACTTAGTCCTGCCATGAGTGCAGGGGACTGGACTAGACAACCTCTCAAGGTCCCTTCCAGTCCTACGATTCTATGGTTCTATATCATGCTTCAGCTCCTGTCTAGCATCCTCCATGTGCCATGGGCGGGGGGGGGAGGGGGCATGCAGAAGGGTTTCCTCAATACCTCTCCCTTTTCCCCTTCTCTCTCTCCCCACAATATATCAGTGCAGGAGAGGGAAAGTGTGGGGGACGGGCAGCTCCTTTCTGATGCAGCATATCAGCACCCTTGACACACGGGTGCACCGTAGCCTGTGAGTGCACGGGAGGGTGGTGTTCCCTTCAGTGCACAGATGCTGCATCTGCCCCTCCACTGGTCCAGGACTCCCTGAGCACGGGGGCCAGCGCAGCTCTCTGTGTAGTGGCTGCGGCCGCTCCTACAGCACTGAGCTCTCTCCAAGACTCCTTCAGCATCGTTCCATTCTCACTCTCCTCTGCACCTTGGTCTGGGGCAGGGTGGTGGCCACTGGTCTTAAGCCACTAGAGTCTCTACCGGGCAAGTCAGGGCCATGTGCCCCACTGTCCTCTGGAGCTCTAGGCCTAATCCCTTCCTGGCTGGCTGGCAGAAAGCTGTCGGCCCCTCTCTGGAGTGTGCCAAGCCGGCATCACACAGGGAGCCCATCCAAGGGCTTCAGGGGAAGGTACAGTTAAGCCACTGTTTGAACAACTTGTTCAACGGGCTGGATTTCCAGCTGACGATAGCCCTGAAAGAAAGGAACGGAAAATAAAACACAATGTGAACACAAAGCTCTCCGAGGAAACTTCAGAGACAGACAGGAAGGCTCACAGAGGTCTGAGCCGTGCCCAGCAGAGCACAAGGTGACTTTGGCTCTAACTGAGAAAGAGAAATTAGTTCCAATCCCAAGGAAACCCTCAGGGAAAAAGGCAAAACAGGAGCAGCTCTTAGCTGTTTTAGTGATCTGCAAGGCAGGGAGAACAAGTGGCAGCTCCTCACTCATGGTTGCGGAGAAAAGAACTGACAGATGAAGGCACGTGGGCTGCTGTCCCCACCTTTGTACAGGCAGGACAAAATGTACCACCTGTTGGCACCTTCTGAGCTGCCTTCACACCTCAGAAGCTGTGGGAGATCCTGACGATCACACGCTGGAGCTCAGAGGGATTTGAAGTGAGACAGTGTTGATGAGGAGGAGTGATGAAGGGAGGGTAAATATACCAGAGAGAGGGCATGAACTGCAGAGGTGAAGACTCTTGCACCAAATGTGTGGAGCGGCAGAGAACCAGCCAGTGTGAGACTAGGAAAGGGAGTCTGGAAGCAAGTAGAGAAGCAAGGTCCATGAGATACTGCAGGGTGGGCAAGTGTGTGGAAGATTGAAAAACCAGGAAGGCTGTTCTGAGCTGGCTCCTGAAATGAGTGTGGAGCCAGTGGAGCCGTGGAAGGATGGGGCTCCTCTGCACCGGCTGTACCATGTAACAATCCGCAGGGCAGAATCCCAGACCCCCTCCAAGGAGAACGCCAGTGGGGTTCAGGTGGCAGGACGCTGGCACCCATGCGGGAATTTTGCCATGGAGCTGACATTTGTAGCCCACTCTACAGGGTTCAACTGATAAAGGATAGGAACTTAATTAATGCCAGTCAACGTGGCTTATGGAAAATTGGTCTTGTTCAACAAAGCACATTTTAAATGTATTGAGAACTGACTAACTCACAGATCTCCAAAAATAGCCATCGGGGGGAACCCTTGTCGAATAGGGCATTTCTATGGGGTCCAACAGGGAGCAGTTCTAGGCTTGATGCTATTCAACATTTTCATCCACGATCGGGATGTAAATATAAAATTGCTGCTGATAAAATTTGCAGATGACACAAATGTTGGCGGAATGGTAGTAATGAGGAAGGGCTGTCCTACAGAGCGAGCTGGATCACTTGATGAGCTGAGCTCATTCAAACAAACTGCATTTCATTACAGCCAACTGCAAGGTCACACATCCAGGAACAAGGACTTCAGGCCACACCTACAGAATGGGGGACTGGAAAGCAGGGACGCTGAAAAGGGTTTAGGGGTCAGAGTGGGAAAGCAGCTGAACGTGAGCTCCCAGTGCAATGACATGGCAAAGAGGGTCCATATTTTAAAGAGGACGTTGAAAAACTGGAGATGGTGCAGAAAAGAGCCACAAAAATTATTCAAGGGCTGGAAAAACACCCTAGAGTGAGACTCAAAGAGCTCAAAAAGAACAGGAGTATTTGTGGCACCTTAGAGACTAACAAATTTATTTGAGCATAAGCGTTCGTGAGCTACTTATATGCTCAGATAAATGTGTGAGTCTCTGAGGTGCCCCAAGTCCTCCTGTTCTTTTTGTGGATACAGACTGACAGGGCCACCGCCACACTGGCACCTGCCAAAGAGCTCAGTCTGTCTCGTTTCTCAAAAGGAAGGCCGAGGGGAGAAAA